TGGCTTCATTTTAGGATTTAATTCAATTCCCAATCTCATTAGGGCCATGAAATAACCAGATAAGCACATTACATATGTGAAAACACGAATCATTTTTTTTTCCCCAACCTGGACTCGAACCAAGGACTTATGCTTACTAAGTCAAGGCGTTACCACTACACCACAGAATGTTAAAAGGAATCCAACCTTTTAACTTATATCTGTTATACTAAGGAATGAACGCATTCTAACTGAATGCCACTATGTTCATATTACAGATTCCCCAACCTCACTCGTGGCTTCATTTTAGCATTTAATTCAATTCCCAATCTCATTCGGGGCCATGAAATAACCAGATAAGCACATTACATATGAAAACATGAATCACTTTTTACCCCGACCGGGACTCGAACCAAGGACTTATGATTACTAAGTCAAGGCGCTACCACTACACCACAGAAGGTTAAAAGGAATCCAACCTTATAGCTTAAATCTGCTAAACTTAGGAATGAACGCATTCTAACTGAATGCCACTATGTTCATATTACAGATTCCCCAACCTCACTCATGGCTTCATTTTAGCATTTAATTCAATTCCCAATCTCATTCGGGCCATGAAATAACCAGATAAGCACATTACATATGTGAAAACATGAATCATTTTTTACCCCGACCGGGACTCGAACCAAGGACTTATGATAACTAAGTCAAGGCGCTACCACTACAAAACAGAAGGTTACAAGGAATCCAACCTTATAGCTTATATCTGCTATACTTAGGAATGAGCGCATTCTAACTGAATGCCACTATGTTCGTATTACAGATTCCCCAACCTCACTCGTGGCTTCATTTTAGCATTTAATTCAATTCCCAATCTCATTCGGGCCATGAATTAACCAGATAAGCACATTACATATGTGAAAACATGAATCATTTTTTACCCCGACCGGGACTCGAACCAAGGATTTATGATTACTAAGTCAAGGCGCTACCACTACACCACAGAAGGTTAAAAGGAATCCAACCTTATAGCTTATATCTGCTATACTTAGGAATGAACGAATTCTAACTGAATGCCACTATGTTCATATTACAGATTCCCCAACCTCACTCTTGCCTTCATTTTAGCATTTAATTCAATTCCCAATCTCATTCGGGCCATGAAATAACCAGATAAGCACATTACATATGTGAAAATATGAATCATCTTTTACCCCGACCGGGACTCAAACCAAGGACTTATGATTACTAAGTCAAGGCGCTACCACTACACCACAGAAGGTTAAAAGGAATCTAACCTTATAGCTTTTATCTGCTATACTTAGGAATGAACGCATTCTATCTGAATGCCACTATGTTCATATTACAGATTCCCCAACCTCACTCGTGGCTTCATTTTAGCATTTAATTCAAT